AATAATTCTTAGTGGTATAGAAAATAATAATGTTACATAATGAAGGGCATCATAGATTAATGAACTTCAGCGTTTCAGCAACATGCTCATCTTGGGCTGTATGTTCCTTTTCTGGCATCCGCCCTCTTTGGAGGCAGGTTTCCCCTTTGCTCCCCTCTCTCCTGGCCCCTCCCTACTTTGTATAGTCAATGCTAATTAACAGCTGTTTAATTATCAGCCCAGCAGGGAAGTATTCATGGCCCAGGTCCTTTGAGAGTTATATTCACAGTAAAGCTGTGCCAGATACTGGAAGGCTGGCCTTGTTACGTGCCCTTAGGGAGAGGCAAAGTGGAAAGTTCATTGCATTGAGAATCAGTCAACCTGGGTGGATCTCCCATGATTTAACTGTCAGTGGGTAGCTTCTGAATCTCCATTGCTTTAAGTGCAACAATATTCACCCAAGGTTCTATTGGGAAGGTTAAATGTAGTGGGAATACCTTGTTAACTGTACATAGCATGCAGACGTGCAGGGATGCTATCTTCTTTGTCCAAACATAGTCCAGAGCTGGCACATTGTCCAGGGACTGGGAGGGGCCACAGTGGGTAGAGTCTCTTGGCTAACATTTGTGAAAAGTTGAAGTAGAATTGTAGAATATCCATCTGTACATTTTAATAAAATAATACCTAGTTACAAATATTCCTACTTTCCTCTATTTTTTTATTGGCACAAATGTTTGGGTCAATGGTCCTCTTTGGGCACCATTCTAAAACTAAATATGGAAGTTAACTGTATATTATTTTTCAACAAAAGGAATAATTAAGTTGTATGCATGTCATCAGTGTCACATCTAGGTGGTAATAAAAGGCCTCATGTGTGAAAGGTTAGACTTCAGAGGAGGGAGAGAGAATAAGACAGTGGCCTTTTAGTTATAATGTGAGAAATACAATTTAGACACCAAGAAATACTTCTCAAAGAGAACTCTGACATCAAAGAGTTTATCACACATAAAATTATAACAATGAAATCTTCCCCAGAGGTCTTTTTAAATGCTGTGACTTATCTGTCTGGTCACAGTAATTTTATTTATAGTAAAAAAATAATCTAAAGGAGCAATAAGAGGGAAATGTTGAGTACAGTATGGTAGGTGATGCCATAGAATATGTAGGTAGCCGTTAGAAAGTAAAATATGACAGCTAAACAGCAGCATCTCGAAATTGTTATGGTAGGATAGTCAGTGAAGAAAGAAAACACAATTTTATCTATAGTTATAATTACTCTTATAGAAAAATTAGGTATGAATATGAATTAGACTGAATGAGAATGCAGAAAAATAAAAACAATTGATAGATTTACATGGTATCATTGACAAAAAATCTGTTCTCCAGTTACTTGTGTGTTGCAAGTGAAAGACGCTCGCCTCTCTTAAAGTGCAACTGTGTTCTTCACGGAGGATAAGAAGATAAACTATTCCCAATAGACTCAGAAAGCCCCTCCAGGTTAAGGATTTCTAAATTTCTGAGTTGCAAGGTTGAATAGTACCCAGAGAGGACAGCATTCCAAAGCATCGCTAGTTTCTATTAAAACTTAATTTATGAATTAAAAATTAATTTCATGGAAATGAGTTTGAGCAGTCTTTTCATTAGCGTGCACTTGGTCTAATTGAGTTTGGAGTGATTGTTACAGCCATTCCGCACTGTGGTTTAACAAGGTGAAATCTGATATGAGTCTTTTTGTTCTTATGCGCCAGGAAATAACATATAGATGAGTTTTCAGATTTCCAGTTTTCTCTTGCCTACCAGAGATCCTCCCAAGGAAGGGTGCTATCTCCAGAAAATTATTGGTGACAATGAATCCAGCATACTAGGGATCCCTCAGTAGCAGCCAGTCTAGTCCTCCCTTCAGGGACTAGAGCAGAGAAAGACTTCCTTGTGAAATCAAAACAGGAAATTACAAATTTAGACTCCTTTCTCAAGTTTAAGTGACACTCTTTTTTTGTTTGTTTTGGTTTTACTTATTTTAAAATTTTCCTCATTTTAGAACTGCCTTTATATGTACTGATATCATTTAAAAATGCACAGATGTCATAAAAAATGCATATGCATTGGAGATTTTCAAAAAATAAAGAGAAGGTAGAAATAAAATTTATAGGCAATTAAGAGAACTGACATTATCTCAGAGAAATTCTGTGGCTCACACTTGTTTAAATGTCCTTGCTAACCTCCTCAGGCCGCTCCTTTGTGAGCATGTGGAAATTCTGGCCACACTGTACTGTGGCTAGCACTGAGTTCAGCTTCTCTTCCATTACTTGTCTAAGGGTGATGAAGGAAGACTTGATGGATTCTTTCAGAATCATAGACTTGTACTAAACTTTTTGCAAGGAGCTCTGGGCACCCTCTGAAGCATAGTCAATTTGCTGGTGCATACAGAATACGGATCCCAGAAGGGTCCCAGTGAAAGAGCTGGGGTCCTTTCCATTCAACTCTTCCAAATAACAGCGCTACCCCAGGGAGATGAGACATGGCACCTGGCTGTGCATCTTCCTCTCCAAACTGCAAAGCCAGTTGGGCACATCCTGGGTCACACTGTCCACCATCATTGTTTCACTACAACTGAACCAATAGTTCCATGTCTTCACCCTGCCTTTATCAATTAAAGTCTTAGCATTTAGCCCACTCATCGCACAAGGTATGTGGTCATCAATCTCTACAATCTCACCAGTGTTGCTGGGCTCCATTGGTGGGGAGATAATTCTCTTCTGCTTCTCTCATTAGCCTCTGATGTCTGGATCCCAGTGGCTGTAGAACCAAGCTTGATTGCCTCAATGGCACATTCTACTTGAAATAATCTACCTTCAGGAGAAAAAGTATTCACACCCCTATCGTACTCAGACCAGGGAGAAACATGGCGAGGGCAATAGGAGGTGGTGGTGGCTATGGTGGCAAAAGGTTTCGAGAGGGACATGCCATGGTTGTTATTCCAGGTTGAGAATTAACTCAGTATTTTGATATTCCCTGTTAATGAAAACACACAGAGCTATGGGAATTTGCTCCACGTATCTCAGATTTCAGAATGACTGAGTGAGGTGCCCAGCTGCCAGGCTCTGAAATCGGTCACAGTGGCAACAGGCCACACCTCCACTGGGAGTGAGCATGAGAGTGGTGCTGAGGCCCATCCCTGGGAGATACAGGGCTCTTCTGTCAGCCAAACTGAGATCCCCGTCAGCCCTGTAAAACCTTTCATAGCCTGTGAGGCAGGTGAGGATCCATTTGCCCAACTTCGATCACTTCCCTTTACTTAGAGTCAGGCTCGCGTCACAGCTTCTTGTACTTTCTCTCCTAATAAAATCCTTGCACATTTAATCCTACCTTGGCATGGGATCAAAGCTATCTTAGAAGATATCTATGTGTACTTACATACTCACATCTATAGACACCTACACATGTACCCCTTTCTATCCAGGGTGTCCATAAAGTGCGTGTACAATTTAAAATAGACAAGTGTATATACTCGTGTGTATGAGGTCAGACAATTAAGTTTGCAAACTCATCCTAGGAAAGTGCTGAATCCTCATCGGTGGTATCACTGGGCTCACCTCTGAAGTACTCCCCTTGGAAAGCTGTGCACCAATGCTAGCACCTAGTCCACCCTTCAGAGAACTTTGGGAACTCTTTGTCTGGAATGGCCGTTGGAGCTATTGTGGTACAATTAAGTTCTCAAATGCATCCTAGAAAAAGTTCCTCCACAGCTCAGGCAGCAAGGAGGAGACGGGTTTTTGGCATCTGTGGTCTCTTCTTTTTTCCCTTCCTTATGTCACTCTTGATTTTGTCTCTGCTGTCCTTTTCTCATTCTGTATTCATTAGAGTTCTTAATTGCAAGCAAACAGAAATTGATTCTGCATCATCTAAGCAAAAGAGTAGCTGTGGGAAAGACCTCAGGAGCTCACAATACATGGGGGGTTGAAGGATCAGTTTGGGGGGACCTCCAGGGCTGGGCTGCAAGAACTAAACAAAGCAAGGGTCCTTCGCTGACAGTGAACCTCCCAGGGTTCCTTGCTTTGCTTCACTTTCCCAAGATTCAAATCCTGGGAGAGAGACACCCACGGAGGTGCCCCTGAGGCCCCCAGAATTTCACTCCTACCAACAGGGAACCCAAAGGACTGGGGTAATTTCCCCCAAACACTGCAGAGATTTGGGAAGGGGAAAAATGAATCATGTGCCACAAAATCTAATAAAAATAATAATCAATCTCCAGCACACACCTTTTTATCATACATTTACATTGTCCTCGAGTTTGTAGATGTTCGGGGACCAGCCACAACTGTTGAGTGATAGATTAATTCTTGTTCAAGTGAAAGAACGTTTCCTGGTTGGTAAAGCTTAGATACAGCCTTAAATTTCATTTCCATCCAAGAGCTTGGGGCTCTGTCTGACTGTCCAAAAAGGAACTGTCCCTGCGAGCACAGCAGCAGCTTCCAACCATTCTTTTTCAAAAGTTCCTCACTCGCCATCTTGGGCTTTTCTACAGAACACGCTGGTTCTCTGGGCAGGTTTTATTGTGTTTAGGTTTTGGGGTTTTTTTGTTTTTTTTTTTTAGCTGATTCCCAAATGTGTTAGCATAATGCTCTCAAATTAACACCTGAGAAGACGCCAAGAAAAAATCTGTGCCATACCCCAAATTCTGATGCTTTAAAAAATTAACAATAATAATCTATGCCATTTCACTCTCTCCCTCCCAGAATCCACATCCACCTTCTTTCCTTAATAGAAATGTTTTGTTGTTTTGTTTTATTTCTAAATGATTCCAACATTATCTTCCTTCTCTGAGAATACCTTTTTCCGTCTAATTCTTACCTTAAAGGAATTCACTTGGAGCCATATACGTGTATGAAAAGAACTTGCTTTCACTGAGGGAAGAGACAAAGCACATTATATACAAATGAAATTTGAGTTCATGGAAACAAATTCCAGAAGACAAGTGTTCAGGTTGAGACTCAGGTAATATACCAGTGTTGTTGTTCCAGGTAAAGCTGGCCTTGCAACAGGAAGGATTTGACCGAAAAAAGAGAGGGTACAGAGACATCAATGAGATTGACATCAACATGAATGATCCTCTTTTTACGAAGCAGTGGTATCTGGTGAGTGTCTCTGTACTCTTTCCGTTAATAACATTTCCTGTGTTGAGATGTAGGATAAATGAAGTATGCCTATTTCCTTATTAACCAGTGGGAGGTTGCCCAGCATCTGGCTCACTGAACCTCTCTGTCCCTTCGATACGCATTGATTTTCTGTCACCACCAGCGCATGTTCTTTCCTGATCTGCTTTCTTTTGCTTTCTAAATAGCCATGGTAGCAGGGTCAACACTGCTACCAACAACTGATCAAACCCTCCTAGACCAAAAAAGCACACCACCCAACAACACTGGTATGGGTGAAAACTTGCAAAAATACACAAATGTCAAATTAAAGTTCTGGGGGTATGTAATCCAGGGCTCTCGACAGGCAGAGTAATGGGAGAGCACAGTGAAGTTACAGGTATAAAAGAAATCATCCCATGACTGCAAGGGGCAAGCAAGAGAGCAGAGAGACTAAAGTAGCAAAAATAGCATCTCTGAGTACTTCCTAAAATAATGGCAGGAAATCAATCCCATGGAGCTTCACTGACATAGGTTTTGGCTGATGCAGGTTTTGAGGCATTGAGACCCTGTCTGTCTGGGGATGTGAGTATTTCTGGCTCACCTGTAGTCAACCATAATCCATTTGGATGGGTCAAGCTGTGTTCAAAAGGGAAGCAGTGACTCTGTAGGGCATATTGAGAGAAAGAGAGTGACTAATGTGTAAATATGAATGAAGCTTTATTTTCTTTGAGCTTAAAAGGTGATGAACAAGAGAGAGAACTAACTTTCAGCCCTGTGGATGGCTACCTTACAGGAGGAATGCATCACAATTACCCTCCTGGGCAGGAAGGGAAAGCATATACCTTATGCTTTGGGGCATGGAAGTCTGGAAATCTAATCTGGGTAAATGAATGAGCTTATGTGTTAGCCAGGATAAACTAGGTTTGTTACAGTAACAAACAATGCCCATATCCCAAGACTTGTCAAAATCAAAGCCTATTTCTCCCTCTTGGTACATGACCAAAGCTTTGTAAGCCTCAGGGACTCAGGCTGACCAAGCTCCATCTGGGCTCCACCCTGATGCTGCTTTCATAAGTCCCTCAGCAAGGAAAAGGGACAAATTGTGCACTGGCTCTTAAAGGCTCTGCTTAGATGTAACAAATGGCACAGGAGATCTCATGCCATTGGCCCAAACCAGTCATGAGGCCATTCTAACTTCAGAAGGGGAGAAAGGTGGAAGGCAGAAATTTTTGCAAAACACCCTATGTCACTCACGTAATGTTTTATCAGTAACGTAACAGCCACTGATCATGGGGCTTTTGACCAATTCTTTACCATTATTTTATGATCCATCTTGGAGAAAATCTACACAGGATGAACACACATGAAAGAGGAGAGTGAACATACTAATTTGGATTTTTTCTCCATGTTCCTTTCTTTGTTGACTTTGGGGGGGGCAGCAGGCTTTATCTTTCTGCATTGGGAACATGCATCTTTAAATTAGGTTCAACAAATAGTTTTGGGTAAAACTTTGCGTGGTGGTACTAAAATTACAAAGGTAACTAAGACATGCTCCCTCCTACTAAGGATGTTATTTGGTGAGAAAATTATATTTGAATAAGAATAATTCAAGATAAAACATGCCAAGTTCAAAATGTGGGGTATAAGCAAAGAGCTATGCAAGTGAGCCTTAATTCTAAATCAGGGAAGATTTTTTTTCCAATAGCAGCTCTAAGCTCTTTTTATAGAAAGAGCTTAAAGACAGCAATCTAGTTATAACAGATGGGGGGTTGCATATTTACATAAAATGTCAATTGTTTATATCAAAAAGTGAAGGAAAAAGGCTGTAAGAGATGGGTGATCGGAGGGACACCCAAAAGTACTATTTTATGGACAGTATGGCCTTTGAGTTGGTCCTGGACCATCAGGCTCTGCTAAGAGCCTAGAAAAGCTATCAAGAAAATATTTACATGGGTACTTTCCAACACAAAAGTGTTAAGATTCTCTGCTTTGCAATTCCCATACCAGATCAATACCGGGCAAGCTGATGGCACTCCTGGCCTTGATTTGAATGTGGCTGAGGCGTGGGAGCTGGGATACACAGGGAAAGGTGTCACCATCGGAATTATGGATGATGGTGAGTATCTCAAAGGCTTTACATCATTTGGAAGGAAGTGTGTCTTTGCATGCCTTTGGTATATAAAAGATTTGTTGTGCTGAAGCTGCTAATCAGACACAGAATAACCAGATAAGTACTAGTTCTATTAACACAGGCTCTGTGACCAAATCTTCAGCCTTCTCCAGATGAATGGGACTCAAACTTGAGGTTGCCATTAATAAAATATTTGTTGAATTAGTAAATAAAAAGCTAAACAAACCAAACAAATGAAAGCTGCCTGTCACTCAATCGTAATATCTAATTGGGTCACGGCCTACCCCTTACCTTAAAAGTCTTCTAAACCTGTTTATATTTACCATCCATTTCTCTAGACTCACACTGTCCACAGCAGTAGCCACTAGTCATATGTGGCTATTTATATTTAAATTTTAATTAATTAAAGCTAAATAAAATTAAACTCCAATTTGTCCATCACACTTAGCTTCATTTCGACAGCCACACAGGGCTAGCAGCTGCTAAAACTCAATCCAATTCAATTTCCATCATCGCAGAAAGTTCTATTAGACAATGAGACTCTAGATTCCTAACACAGCATTTTAGTAACAAGATTGGGACTTGGGGAAATTTGACTTTATTGCTACTTTCAGAATGAACACTTGTAAAGCAACCTTTGATAAATTTTTATTACAGACAACCCCTACATGTTATTCTTTCCTACATACTTACCAGACAAAGAGTTAACAGAGCTATACCTGTGACATGAAAGCCAATAGATTTGAGGAATTGGCGTGTTCCAGCTACACATGTCCCTGGCTCTACCAAGAGCCTAGAAAATCACTGCCTTGTAGTCATTTCACTGGGGCCATGTTGCTGTCCTTCTTTACCCCCTGGGTACCCCAGCAAAGAGCTCTGCTGTGTACATGTTACCGGTCCAATTGCACGCACAGGCTATACAGAGATCAAACAGTAGAGCCTTCCCCTTCTGAAGATCCCTAAAAACACTACATTCTCTAAAGCAAGCCTTTGGTACCGAAAGGGTGGGGAAAACAAGAGGAGCCGGCCCGTTTAATACCTGTGTTGTCTTCCTGGAGGCTCATTAAACACCAGCAAAGAAACAAGCCTCATATTTTCTGATGTGTGAGGTTGTTTTGTAGTGAATGCAAAAGCAGTCTTCAGTGGTGGAGGGCTTTCACACGAAGAGCAGAGAGCTGCCCGTGTGTGTGCTCAGAGGTCAGGAGTCCAAGTGTTTCTTCTTCCTGGTGCTTTAGCTTAGAAACTCTTCCAAGGGGGTTGAGGACAGCTCCTTCAGGAAAAAGATGTGTCAGAGTTTGGGGGAAACCTACATAGGATACATTGTGTGACCATTTCTAACAACAGATCTACTGGGTATGCCCTGCCAGGGGTCCAAGAAGCCACCCTGAAAGTGGCACTGTACAGACAACCCCTGCACGTTGCTCTCACAGGGCCTCCAACAGTGCAGGAGACGCCTGTTTTTAGACTTCTTTACTGTAGCCCCTTGACTGACTCTTAACTCATCCCTTCCAAAAACAGCAGAGGAGATGACTCCTGATTCTGCCCCACCCTGAGGCCAAGCCCTTTAGAAAGTCCGAGCAGAATTTCTTCTTTGCTCTTACTTTGTCAGCTGATTAGAGGCCTCTGGGCTCCCAAACAAAGTAAACTCTGTCCCCTAATTATAATTCCTGGCTGCTTCTTCATTTGGTCACTTACTACAGCAAAATGAATCACCCCCAAATTCAGGGACTTTACAGAAACAACCTGGTATTATATCACACAGTTCTGTGGGTTGATGGGGCTCTGCGGGACAGTTCTTCTGAGTGTCTCACTGGGGTGTCTCATGCAGCAAGAGTCAGGGGCAGCAGGGCCACAGGCAACTGCAGGCTCAAATGGTGTGCCAACATGGCTCAGCCTCCCTCCTATCTGAGTAGACAGATAGGAGCTGGCCCCAGCTCCCTTTGTGGTTTCCACAACAAGGCAGCTGGATTTCCTTTTTTTTGTTTTTTTAGAGACAGAGTCACTTTGTTGCCCTTGGTAGAGTGCCGTGGCATCACAGCTCACAGCAACCTCCAGCTCTTGGGCTTAGGTGATTCTCTTGCCTCAGCCATCTGAGTAGCTGGGACTACAGGCACCTGCCACAATGCCCAGCTATTTTCTCATTGCAGTTTGGCCGGGGCCAGGTTCAAACTGCCACCCTTGGTATATGGAGCCAGCACCCCACTCACTGAGCCGCAGGCGCTGCCCAGCATCCAGATTTCTTATAGGTGGTTCAGAACAGCCAAGAGCAGCCTTTCCCAGAAAAGCAGAAGCTGCCAGACCTTCTACAGGCTGGATCTGGAATGGACAGGTATTAGTCACTGTGCTGCTTCTGTTGGAAATGGTCACAGCACCACTCCAATGCCAGGTGAGGGGACATAGACTCCGCCTCCTGGGGTGGAGAAAGACAAAGAATTTGTGGCCATTTTTAATTCGCCACATGCTATTCAGTATGGTAACTGAAGAAGAGAGTGCCGGCCAAGCCATTCTCTAAACCCACTGCCTAACAGCAAAATGAGCACGGCTGGCCCAAGAGGGAGGAGCAGACAAGATGCACTACAGCCTCTCACCATGTGCTGGGCCTCTGTGCCCCGGCCCTGGAGCTGGTAGACGGCAATGCCAGTGCTGCGCTGCCCCTCCTAACCACCTGCGTGAATGAATAGTATGATATCATTTCCTAGATACTGTTTAAAGACAGCTACAGATGTCAACCCCAATACCTAAGGGCAAAAATAATATAATACTTTGCAAACATTGGAAGACTCAGTTTGTAGACAGCCTGGTTTAACAGCCACCTACCCCTCTCTGACCACCCAACTCAAAACTCAGCCAACACTTCTCTGCTAGATCCAGTGACTCTGTGGACTGCCTTCACCTGGGTGCAACACAATGTCATTTCTGCACGCTACACGTCACCTGAAGAGAGCTTCCTTGGTTACCTACTGCCCAAAGGAGCAGAAAGAATTTCTTAAGGGTCTGTTAGAACATTCCAGGCATGCAGATAGCATCAAGGACTCCACATAGTGAGGACAACTTCATCCTTTTTATTGTAAAGGAATTGTTTAGTGTTGGGAACTTTACCTGGAAAATGGAATGTGACCATAACAAGACACAGGAATGGACATGAGTCACCCAAGCGAGGCATAATTCAGGGCTGGCTCGCAAGGGCAGCTGAAAACCGTGTTGGGGTGACTGAGCCCTGCTTCTAGTATGAGAAAGTTAAACCTATATTCACAATGGATATCAAGGCAACACACCACAGTAGGAATTCACGACACTGCATGTGGGCTTCTTACACGGCATCTGGCTTCCTCCAGAGCAAGCGCCCAGAGGGAACAGGTGGAAGAAGACACCTTGCTTTGCTGCCCTCGCCTTGGGAAGCATGCAGTGGCGTTCTCCTACATCCTGAGCACTTAGGACTGAAGAGGAGGCAAGGGACCCACCTCTCAATGGGAAGCAGGACGAGGTCACATCAGCAGACCACATGGGATGGGAGATTATTGTGCTACTGTCTTTGGAAATGCATTATATTCACTGGGGGCCCACTCCTCATTAACCTGCGTATAACTCAGTGGGAGATAGGGAGAAGAAGTTGCAAGATGCTAGCTCTCGTGGAGCAGAGGAGGGAACTGAGCTTGGGACCATGGTCCTGAAATGTTGCACATTAGAAAGTGAACCATCAACTTTCTAACTAGGAACATGCGCATGGAACTCCGTGCTACTCCCCGAGGCCTCCAGAACCGTCAGAGCTTCCTGAGAATCTGAAAAGATTCAAACCGATCACAGGAAACTAACGACTTAGGAACAAAGATATAATTATTTGTCATGGTGTGCCACCTTCCCATTCCTAGGTTGGTGATGAGTCTGTGTCCCCATAGGCTGTGAGCCACAGATGGTTGTACAGCCCAGCTTCTGTGTCAAAGTCATCTGTGATCTTACAGGACTTACCCTGTGCCTGGCATTGTTTGCTGAAAAATAAACAAAAGCATAAACTATGAGAAGGAATACATTAATAAACGAGAATTAAAAATAAACTGATTAAAATGTCAGTACCTTTCCCCTCAGAAACTAATTAAAATGCTGTCTAATTGCCAGGTTACTACTTTCCATCATTTAGTTCACTGTGACTTTTTCTGAATCACATCTGTTGTCCCTCACTGGTCCATCCATAATCCTTTCTCAAACTCTGTGCTGCCTCTAACTTAACACTTAGCCTTCCCCTTAACTTAATTAAAGATCCTTTATTTTAATGAGGCTAAATTTTTCTTATTTTAATTCTAATTAAAGATTTCAAATTATCTCCTTGTTCTAATGTTTTCCCTTCACAGAAAAGAAACTAATATTTCTAGCACATTTTTCTCCTAAACAACTTCCACTATCAGAACTTGGAGTCATGTTTTAAAAATGGACTTCCTGTTAGAAAAAAAAAAAATATATATATATATATCTCACATGTGTTTTTTTATAACTTATCTATGCATTACAAAAACTTTTGCTTGACAAGGAGTTCACAAATTTTAACCAATTTCAAGAAATACATACAATTTAATTTCAATGTAACATTGTGAAACCAAGTAGTTTTGTTTTTTGAACCAAAGTCTCACTTTGTTGCCCTCAGTAACATGCCATGGTGTCATAGCTCACAGCTACCTCAAAGTCTTGGGCTCAAGCCATCTTCTTGCTTCACCTGTACTATTTTTGGAGACAGTCTTGCTCTTGCTTAGAGTGGTCTTGAACTCCTGAACTCAGGCAATCCACCCGCCTCAGCCTCCCAGAGTGAAGGAGATTTTTTCTTAATGTTTCTGTTCTTGTGCAATAGCCACATTACTCTGTGGGTGGTGGTAGAATGATGATGATAAGAAATTTTAATATATCAACTGTTTACTCAAAGCTAAAGACTGTTGAAAAATTGTCTCTAATCTCAAAACCTGCTTTGCCTGGTAAATAACAGCCCCACTTCAAATATGCAAAAATCAACACTCGTAGGTGACGTCACTTGGCCAAAATCACAAAAAAAGTGCAGTGTCTAGGCCTAAAATGGGACTGGCTCTGCTGATCTCAAAGCCTATGCTCTCCCCCCACTCCACTCCCCAGCCCAAAGTGACCGTGTTAAGAGTCCAGAACAAGGGTCAACAACCTCTGAATATTACCAGTCTTGACACTGCTGACCCCTCTTCTCCTGCAGATCTTGGGAGGAGTGCTAGAGAAGGTAGCCATAATGGCAACTATTGCTTCACCTGTCAAAACACTGGCAGTGACATCTCATACACATACTGTAGTCAGTGCTCCCAGTCCAGATATTATTTGCATAACCAGAAAAAAAAGGAAAATCTCTTTTCAGAAATATGCACTCTAGTACAAGCTCTTCTTTGCCAGGAAAGCTAAACAGCGGCAGGGCCTCAGCAGGCATGCAGTAAAGATGCCACTATGGCAGACTTGACGACACTTCTAGCTTTTAAGGACTGCATTCCAGTAGAGTCATTAACTGCAGCAGCCTCTGGGCTCAGCACACCACATGCATTAATTAGCTTCTTTAATCCCTCCCTAGTCCCTAGTTCTCACCTGAGTTGGCTGAGAAGGAAGCAAGCAGAGACGCCCAGCAACTTGGCTAAAGTCCTGTAGCCAGTTATTGGGGTGGTTAGGACTCAGACTCCAGTCTTTGACTCCACAAACCTACTGCCCTGACCATTATGCTAGGTGGTGTCAAGAGCCTACCCTGTTTCTTGGAGGGCTGGAGGCTCAGATGTAACTGCTGCAATAGTCGTACGGCTCTGCAGACCCAGATGAGAGCTTTTCAATTGCCCTTGAAGTTCCAGGGTACTTTCTGAGGCCCAGGAATCTGAAGGAACTCAGCAGTGTTCACAGACCATATTTCTACCCTGAGGACGACTATCGGGGAACAAGACAGACCCGCATCTGGGGGCAGGACTCCAGATGAGAGATCTGAAGCCTGGGGCTTGCTGGGAAGCCGCATTCTGGAGAGACGAGCATCTGCTCCCAGCCAGGAGCCTCGCTGGGAACCATCTGCCCTTCACCCAGTGGCTTTTCTCACCGGGTTGTGGTCTCCTCTCATTTCCATGTCAGAGTGTGCTCTCCTAATCTACCACTGTCCGTGCCCTGTTAAATAATAATCACTTTCCTCCCCAGAGCCAGGTTCATTTCAGAAGAAATGCCAGTTGATGCTTTAAAAGTGTCAGGATCTCTACAAATCTCTTTTAGATCACTGCTCTGAAGAGCCATCCATCTTGCAGCCACTAAGCCCCTTAGTCCTGACATTTATGTCAGAGGTGTTATCCTTGGGCCCCAAAGTCTAATTGGCTTCACTCCTCTGCAGTGTGTCTAGAGGCACTGTCCTTCCACGTGGGTGTGCAGCACACCACCTTCCCACAGGAAAGGAAATGCAAGGCCGGGGCCCGGAGAGCAGGCACTCAGCCCCGCAGCACGTCTCCTAGAGCCAGCCCCATGCGGAGGGCACTTTCCTGCACAGCTTTCCTGAGGACATAGTGGCAGGTATTAACCTTTGGTTTCTGTGTTGTGTTTTCACAGGGATTGACTATCTCCACCCAGACCTGGCCTCCAACTATGTAAGTACAAGCTGACTTTGGTGGGGAGACAGAGTGTCCTGGTGTCCCGGGTTATAGAAACACAGGCGGGTACAAATGCATGGGAGTATGCAGGAACTCACAGAGAGAGAGAGAGAGAAAGCTGCGTATGGGCACACACCAGAACTGCCTGTAAGGTCAGAGCATGGCTCAGGCGAGAGGCCGAGGGACAAGGCGTGCGGCCTGGTGGTGGTAAGCAAAGACAGTGGCCTCAGGAGAAAAACAAAACCTGAAGTGTGAACGATGGAGCAGAGAGCCAAGAAATAAGGACAGGGAGTGGCAAAGGAAAGCGAGACTTGGCAAGGTTTGAATCAACTCCAGCTGATGGCACTGAATTAAACGGTGGAAAGGAGCCATGGGGTTTCTTGCGGGACAAAACCAAAGGCAAAAAAGCCAAAACCTGCAGCAACTCGCACCACTACCGCAGCTTTGGGGAGTGAGGACGTTATCTTCTTAAATATTTTTTGTTTTTGTTTTTGGCATTGAGCATGTAGTAACCTTTGACAAACAAATGTTAACAAGAATCACAGTAACCCTGCTGGGCTAGACTCACACACTGTAATTTTTGATTCAGCAAGCCACACACGGCTTTCCTGATGGAACCCACATGCCCTTTAAATAGAATCAATCGCTGTATTTTAACCCAAGAAAGTACAATATTCAGGTCCTAGTGTGTTCACTTAAAATCATCCCAATGAGCTATATTTTTATCACCTCCAGATCTGTATAAAAATGCTATAATTTATGAAGTAATTATAAATGCTATAAATGAAGTAATTAAAGAGACTTATTTTAGGAGAACAAGGCCCTATCTAGGAGAAAGTTAATCAGCAACAGTGTTTGGGGCTCAACATTCTGGGTCATTTGCCCCAGAGGTGTGTGTTTCTCCCCTGCACGAGGCAAGTGAGGACTTTCCACGTGTGTGATGCCCTGGACATCAAAGAGGGCCTCGAATGGGTCACATAAACCAAGAAGGGCATCAGCTGTGCAGAGCATCTTTTTTAATAACGCTCATTAAAAAGTGTTAAATGAATCATTGCCACAGTCTGGCCAAGATGGCCCCAGAGGGAAAGGACAGAAATGATAGAATTAAATTAAATATTCCCCATGAAGATAATCCAGGCCTGTAGAGAGCAGTCACAAGCAGTCTGGGCGGAGTTTAAGGAAACAGCACTCTGGCCGCCTTCACACACATGCCTGGAGCTGCCTGCGGTCGGGTCCCTCCCACCTCACAGGAGCTGCCCTGACACTCCTGGTGACCTTGGCAGACTGCTCCCGGGCCTCCCCGCTGGCCCTGCCTCCCCCATAACTGCAGGGCCAGCAGACGTCTGGGATGGGGAGACCAGGAAGCATGTGCGCTGCATTTTCTCCAAGTTTCTGAACGATCCTGGGACTTTCCTTACCCAGATGGGACAGGAGTGGCAGTTTGGCCTCAGAGGGCCGTCCCCGCACTCCATAACCACACGTGCAGGCACTGCTGGTCTCCGTCGTCCCCTCCCTCTCCAGCACCCAGCGCCTCCAGCCACTTCGTTTACCTTACCACTTGGAGACTTCAAGCTGGGTGACACTGTCGGACTGCCAAGCTTTGGGCGCTTGGCCCCCGACTTCGGCATCCTCCCAGCCCAGCCAGGCGTTTCCTGGCAGGCTGCTCCCAGCACCAGCTGCCAGATTCAAAAGAGATAGTCATTCACGTGGGGAAAAGACCCTCCAGGCCCCGCTGAGCCGCAGGGACAAGGCCAGGGCACAGGGCAGACCAAGAGATTCATCTGCCCAAAACCCTTATCCAAAATTAGAAACTGAGTGGCACCAGCTGCCCTGGGGCCTGAGGAACTCTGCCTCTGTGAGTGTGGGTTCTATATTCTTTCTTTTCCAAAAACATTTTTTTAACTAAAAATTAAATGCATGCTCTTAGTTGAAAATTTGGAAAAGCATAAAACAGACTAAAAATTAACTATAATACCACTCTTAATATTTTGACATATTTTTGGCCTTTCATTGCTTTGTGTTTTTAACAAAATCTGGCTCTTGTATAGTCCTCCCCTTTCCCAGGAGACGCTATGAACATTTTATATTATTAAGCTTTCTGCACAACATAATTTTAAGGGCTGTAATTTTAAGGGCTATAGCTCATGGCATAATTAATCTAAACATTCTGATTTCCAGCTGGGTGTTTCCCAAAAGTGTCCCGCCCTAAGAGGACTTGGAGTCCTGAGTGGACTCCAAGCCACAACCTGCTAAAGAGAAAGAACTGCAGAAGTTTATTCTGCTAAAAAAAGAAAACTTGAGTAGGTTTTCAAATTCTCCTTGTGTGATGAGTCATTCAACTTACAAAGTAATTTCAAGAAAATCCCCAGCAGTGGGTGGAACTCCAGAAGGAAGATTTCAATGCAGTGGAAGGAAAAACTGTCCAGGGAGGAAAGTTAATCAACATATGAAAGGAATGAGTTCTCCGTGTCTGAAATGTTCAAGGAGGGCCATGTGCCGGGAAGTTGAAGAAATGACAAGTCTACGCTAAACTTAAACCAAATAACAATTAAGAATTGTGATTTCTGGGCTCACACCTATAATCCTAGTAATCCGGGAGGCCAAGGGGGATAGATCCCTTGAGCTCAGGAGATCTAGAACAGCCTGAGCTAGAGCGAGACCTCGTCTCTACTAAAAACAGAAAATCTAGCCAGCTGTCAGGGCGGGTGTCTAGTCCCAGCTACTCAGAAGGCTGAGGCAGGAGGATCATGTGAGCCTGGGAGTTAGAGGTTGCTGTGAGCTAAGATGACGCCATAGCACTCTACCCAAGGTGACAGAGTGAGACTCTGTCTCAAAAAATAAATAAATGTTGTTAAAAAATTGTAATTTCTGTGCAAATTTCGTGTCTTGCTAACATGCATCCGGAGCAAGGTCTCAGTCTTCAACATCCACCAAACACTTGGAACCTTACAAGGAAATTATGTACAGAGGTTGCAAAGAAAAAAGTAAACATGTTTTAAGAAAGGAAAAAACTGTATAAAATTATAATACTCAATATATACTGACAACATTTGTTATCATGTATATGGTGTCTCTCATAATTGCAGAAGTCAAATACGACTTGAATATTACAATTTTAATACAGTCCTTTTCCTTTCTTAAATTGTCCAAACTTTATTTGGCACCCTCTGTACATTTACACATGAAAATTTTCTCCCTCTTTGGTATGGATGAGGAAAACAAACATCCAAATATCTCATCCTTAAAACCTCAGCAGATAGCCCAAAGCACTGGTTTTTATCAACCATGCTGTCTCTCACCCTGTGTAGAGCTGAATGTGACCACTTTGGAGCTACTAACCACATTTATCTTCTTTATTTTTAATTAAAAATTTTACACTCTCATTAACAGAATGAGGCTAGCAAATAGAGGAGACCAACCCAGGAGAGCAATGAAATCAGTGGATAGTGATAGGCTCGAAAATTGTTTGAGCCCAGCATTATTAAGCGTCAGCTTCACACCTTGTTAAGTGACTTAATGGCTCAGATGCTATGAGCGAGCCTGGTGCCCTTTTAGAAAGAGGTACTTTGGGGAGGTCTTTGTTTGGGTTTCCCTAGAAGCAGATGAAGGTTTGAGTCCAAGTAGTTCCTTTGGGAGGTGACTCCAGGAAGCAGGGGTAGAGGAGGGAGGGATGAAACAGGAAAGGGAAGGCAGTCAGTACCCAGGGTATGACAAAAATGTTAGTACAGTGGGTGGCTGGAGCTACTCCCATGGGGGAACTCTGGGAGACAGTCTAGAATCTGTGTGCCAGAGTTACCCCTCTTGGGATGGGACACCCAGAGGCTCCATCAGTCCTTGGTTGAGGGCTGGTAGGTGATGTTACCTTGACAGCACTTCCTACCTCCCAACAGCCTGAGGGAAAGCCCTTGGCAGAGGCGTGGGTACAAGCAGCACCAGATATCCAGGGGCGGGAGGGGCGGGCCAAAGAGGTATGCAGCAATGCCTGCCCCAGAGCGGATGTCTTGGAAATTATTAAAGGTTAAAAAAAAGAAAGATATTCTGTGTTAAAAAGAAAAAAAAATCCTCCTCTTCGTTAGTGATTTATTTTCACTTGAGTATTAAAAACATCTAAGGCTCTTCAGAAAATTTCTTCATAATCAAACCAAGCAAAATGTTTCCCAAAGCAGAATTATTTTCAAAGCTTGGTTATTCTATACATTAAAAGAGAGAGGGATCAGAGTATGCTGGTAGTCCCATGTTCTTTCCATTACACCGAGAAAATACTTTGAAAACTGCAAATCAATATATAAATGTAATGTTAATTTAATTTTAAAAAGGCTCAGTAAACATTCATTTCCTTCTCAAAAGAGAGGCAATTACACCTCTGCACAAGTTCAGGTTGTTCGGGTGGAGAAACAGGGGTAGGGAGGTGGGGGTTGGGGGGGGCTCAAGGAACAGGTGCAATTGTTCACTGTGCTTCCCAGTGAGCTCAGTTATCAAGTGACGGGAAAAGGACATCCAATCAGTAAGAATAAGTGGTGAGGCTCACAAAGTTCAGGGCAAAAAGTAAAGGATACCAAAATAAATCTCACAGGCTTCGAAACATAACATCCCAGCAAAGAGAAGACAAAGGGAGCGAGAAGACCTGTTCTCAGGGCCAGGGGTATAAGGAAGAAAGGCACCCCAGAGGAAGCGGGGTTCCACCCACATCCTCTGCTCTCTCACGAACTAGAAGACCCCTCATGGATCATCATACGGGAGGGTCAATCCCCAAGGTGGGTGAAGGGATTCACCCTTCTGCATATTTCCCACCCCTTAATTCTGGATTGGGCCTTGTAAATTGTCTAGAGCACTAGAATAATATGGAGCTAGTTGTGCCAGTGTGGAGGCGAGGCCTTGAGAGGCCTGTGTGTTCCCACACATTCCTGCATTCTGCCATCACCACCGGGAGAGCAATCCCAGGCCAGCTCACTGCACCCCACCGGAGGAGACGGACATGAGGGGAGGAGCTGCACCAGCTGC